TTCTGGATTGATTTCTCATAGTCCCTTACAATTTTAAAGCAATTTTTCTTTTCCTGGTCACTAATTGCAATCTTATCTTCCATATCTGAAATTCTGTCTTCACATTGGTTCATTCTGCTGTGTAAACTTTCAATGGAGTTTTTAATCTCTTAGAAATCTGTTTCCATCTGTTTTATGGATTCCATTTGTGTCCTATGTTGGGATTCCATCATGTTCCTCTATTTTTTTTATCTGTGTCCTTTCTAGATTTATTAATCATGTCTTCCACTATGGGCACAATCTCTGCTGTTACCTGAGAAATTATTTCTGATTTTATTTTTTCCAGATCCTCTTTTGTTGCCAGTTCAGGGAGTCCAAGTGGTTGAGTATCAGATTATTCCATCTCTGTTCCCCTTGGGGTTGCTTTAGGTGATCTGGAAGTCTGGTTTTGAGACTTGTTTACATGTCTTCTCATTTTTCACGGGAGTGGGGTGGGGTGTTGCTGGCACTCGCGTGGCTCACCTCCTCTGCGCTGAGGGAGGTGGTGGGTATAGTTTTGTACACCTTGTTTACAGGGACTTAATGTCTTTTTTGTGCAGTATACCTTGTTTATACAGTACTGTAGTTTTTGCTGCTTGTACTTTAGTTTTATGTTCTGTTATACATTATAGTACTGCATGTAAGAGTTATGCAAATAAAAGCAAAGTCATCAAATTGGAGTTTCCTTTAACCATCTCTTTGTTCTGAATATTGTAAAGTACATACTATATACCATTCCTCACATAGCAACCATTTCAGTGAACAACCTAGTCACAGTTCTGGAACTTGGTTGTTAAATGAGGAATGTCTGTATTGGTATATAGTAAAAACCAATTAACAGCAACAACTATGTCACCCTGTCCATAGTGACAAAATCAGCAATAATGCAGTCGAAGACAAACTGGATGATATCATAAGAACCAATAAAAGCTATCACCCTTAACACTAGAAAAGATATCTTAAAATAATTTTTTTTTTAGCAAAACATGTATTGGTACATTTTAGATATATATAATGATAAGATTCATCATAGGGAATTTGTACCAGTACATGATATATCTTACTTCTTCCTTTTTCCCCACCCCCCATGTAAAGATATCTCTAATTGTAGTATAGACACAAAGACAAACCAAATATTGACAGACAGTTAATATCTACTAAATACAACTATAATACCATTAACAATAGAAAATAATTCAGCAATAGCATAGTCAACTAAATATCTGAAGGTTAATAAAGCTGAATAGTTATACTACTAAAGATGGAGGGGGTGGGGAAGGGAAAATAAAAGAAGTAAAATTTGGAAAATAAAGAAAAGGAAGATGAGATAGAGGAGAGAAAAGTGAGATAAAGAATTCTATTAAGGGGCCAGGGATTTAGCTCAGTGGTTCTGCTGCCTGCCTTGCAAGCACAAGGTCCCCGGTACCGAAAAAAAAAAAA